ATAAAGTAAAAAGAGCATACTGAATGCAGCTGAACTTTGGAAGGAACTCTGACTTGTGTTTGCCAAAATGTTACTGAAAAAAGGGAAATTATTTTGATCTATCCTGAACTTCAAAACAACTTAAAAATCTCACCCTTGCAATGAGACATGGTATGCCTGAAGCTTCACCATTCAGCTTCAGCACATTGTTGCTAGTCTTGGGAATTTAACCTTTAAAATTAATAGCAAGAACATTACTCTCGGTCTGATTGATTCAATACAGTAATATGATATTCAGTCATGTGATAAACCTTATTTCACTGGGGACTGTAAAAGCAACACCTGATATTGGAGGTACAAATGGAGCCAACACACATACAAAAGATCAAATTTTGCTTACTGAATGTAGATTTTTGCAATCCATGCAGGACTGCTGCAGTGGTACTTTTGCAAGATCTGCAATAGAAAGACAGTTATAATGATGAGGTTTTCAGTGTGACATTTATAAAACTGGAGCTTAATCTTATAAAACTGACCAGTAATATCTGCTTATAGGCTTTCATTATGATCTCCAAAATATGACTTTCAGAAACACAGTAATATTTACAAATCCAGTAGTATAGCTTTCTTGAACAGTCTCTCAGGACTTAAGGTGACCTCTCATTAATACATTTTAGGAACAAAATTTCTTGCATTCAGATCCATCTCAATTTTCTAGAGTAAATATCTTACTCCTTCTTCTGAAGTAACAATTTTTTTATTATGTCAGATACAACAATGTGATCATGTCTACTGTAATTGTTATGTTCTCATCCTGATATTAATGCAAGCCCACCTTTCTCAGCTCAGATACTGTGGGATTCTAGCAAAATCAAGTGTGACTGCAGGCTATCAAATTCTTATCATTATATTAGTATTCTTACATTGAAGGGAGTGGCATGTCTCCAACTAGGCAGACTTGTAGATGTTCTGTCATCACATACCTGCTTACTCACCCACTCTTTCTTCCACAATAGCTTTTTTGTCTTCATATTAATATTCCTGACACAGACAAAATCACCTCTGCCTGTGATCGGTGAGAATCCATCATCTCCTTGTAGTCATTGACCCTGGAGCTGCTGTGACCAATAGTACCTTTACAAAACCAAGGAAAAACTGTTTGGAAAGCTCACAGCTTATGTGAAGTTTTTGTTTATCTGGATGGCTATGCTATAGGAATAGAACAGAAAACCTCTCAACCCACCTGATTATTTAGATCCTTTTACGGTACTAGTTCCACTGGATGAAAGCTAGGATCAAAAAAGTGGGAGGCTTAACAGTACCCTGTTAATAATATACTTCTGTATATTATGATGAAGATGTCATGTTACCGGTCAAAACACTCTCTTTGCGGAGCTGCACTGGGGAAGTCAAGTGTGGAGTATAAGCAGAGGCATTTTCACCTGTTTATAGAAAACAGTACAGTGAAACATTTGTCTGCAGGTAAGTAATATAGCTGGTTAGTACATACTGGAGATACACACAAACAGTGGAATATGCAATGAACTTTCTCAAATTGAAAAAGATTTTGAATTTAAAATAAGACGTTTTGCTTTTTTAAAAATATTTCCAAACATTATTGGATCTTTATATTTCTAAGAGGATTGTTCCACTTTTTTAAATTGTCTTAGAATGAAAGGGTTTTGACCACTTTGAACTTTTTTTCTTTCACCACTTTATTCCTTTTACAAGTCAAACAGAATAGCAAGAAGAAAATTGGAAGTGGGAAATGAAACATAAATGAAACATAAATGCAGTTAATTCTGTTACAACCCAGGTGATGAAAAAACTTACCATTGCAAAGTGTCGATCTTTGATTAAAACCAAGTATTTTGAAGGAGGAAAAAGGTTCTTTTCCAATAACAGGGTGGGGGTGGGGAAAAGAGATTGAATGACCAGTTCACAAACCCACTTCGTTTATCCTAATTTGGAAGTCACTGGTATAATCGAAGTTGTTTTCCAAGTGTTCAATTTACACATAGCCAAGGGTTTGACGATGGTGCTACGGAAGGATTTCTTGGTTGAAGCATGATACGAAGGATCTACTAGTAACCTCTAACTAAAGGAATTTGGGAGTCTAGTGGCCTTGATGGGTATTAAACTAGATGCGTCTCATTTAAATCCTTGGGCTGTTTTTAATTTGCATTTGCATGGGGTTTTCAGTGAGATTTGTATTTGCAAAAAGTAGAATGCTTCCTTGCCTTTGGAACAGAATGCCAGAGGAAACTTCTCTTGCCTCTGCTCCAGTGCTTCAGGGCTGGAAGGCAAAATAATTAGTTCCACACAACTAGGAATAAATCACCCAGGTTGAAACATGATAGTGTCTGACAACTGGTAATGTTGGAAAAAAAGATTTCGGTAAATCATTATTGATGAGAAAATTGGTATGCCGAGCAGCTGATACCAGTGTATGTATGTGTACCTTTACAGTAAGCTTAGTGTTGCTAACTTACCCATAGATTGCTGTCTTTACCCTGCAAAAGAAGTTTATATGGCAAGAATAAAGATTGTTAAAAATCTAGTAATAGTACAATTTTTTTTATTTTTGCTTTTTAGAAACTTTGTACAGTAGTATATATTCCTTAGGTTTGTAGAATATTTCAGAGGAAATTTATCATCTTCCAAATATTTGAAAACTAAACAGTGCTGGTTCAATCCTTGTCCCTTTGTGTCTTCCAGAGGGCTTGAGATTCCATTGCGATTTATTTCATCTTTTCTTGAGGAGAAAAGAAAGACCCTCTTTTGGTTATCTGTTTTATTTTTATCCTTTATTTCAGAATTTGTTCAGAATTACTTTTTGGGGGAGATTGGGTAGGAAAAAAGGATGGTAAAACAAATATGACATTATGTATTATTTTTGAAAATGGTTCTCAAACTACTTGCAAGGACATAATAGCAAAATTTTTTATTAATTAACTATATGGGCAAAGTGTAGACTATTCGCTTTTTTCTTCAGATTATATCATTTTGGAGAACCTATAGTTTAGTTATTATGTGTTACAGTAGCACAGGTTTGGGAGAAAAATGGAATAAAGGCAATTATTTCATTGTTCATTGTGATTTCATAAAGGAAATTTTGCATCTATAATTATACAAGTGTTTCAGTTTGGATACATCAATTGATCCAGTTCTAGCTTTCTGTAATTTTAAGGGCATGTCCCTGTTGGGGACCATCAGTTATCTGACCCTGCAAAAGGCACGGTTGTAGGTAGAGTGGGTTTTTTAGGTAGTGTCTAGCTATTAATGTGACTTAGAACATTTCAGTGTACCTGCTGTTCCCTGGATGGTAACGAAAAACATCATTCATTACTCCAAACTGAAAAGTATGCATATAGACTGAAATAATAGACAGGTTCACACTTTCTACACTTTTTTTTATTATTATTTTTTGGTATACAGGAGGGTGCAGTTGCAATGGGAAGATGCAGCAGTCATATGTGGTACTGTTGTACAGCTGTCATCTTACTCTGATCACAAGAAACTGTTAACTGCAACATGAAAACGCATGCTGTGCTTGTGCAAATGCTTGTGCTGCCTTGGCAGGCACATTAATATATGCTGAAGATGAATTATTTAGCTGTCTCTTGTGTGCAGTTTGCTCACAGCAGAAAGTCACCCTGCACTATCCCCCCTTCAGCCAGTTGGAGCCTTTGCCAGAGTGTTTTGCCTCCAGAAGTAAACAGGAGTCTAAGAATAGCTCAGCCTTCTTTGTAGTATATTTTCATGGTTGGCTGTCTAAACAGCCAGCCTGTCTAGACAGCTGACGACACTGAAAGCTCGTAAGGTCAAAAGGAGCCATGTAGGCTACTTTTGGAGATGTTACCTCCTTGGTAGCTGTACGTGTGGGTGCCAGGAGAACTTTTCAATCACAACTAGTAGGGTTCTTTCTGCCTTTCCATGGGCTACAAACGTATGATAAGGCATTAATAATAGATATGAGTGTATAAAGAAGGAATTTTCAATTCTTACAGTTATTTCTGACTCACATGAGATGTCATTGGTTATGCTTTTTTGGTGCTCTTTAAAATTTGTTTTGTAGTGTCCTTTGTGTTGTGCTCAGATTTATATTTTAAGCATAACTTGGAGGCCTAATACTTGTTACATTATTTCTTACAAATGTCTTTAAAAGAATATCTTGCTACAAGTGTTTTGGAGATGGGTACCTTACATGCCACATCATTCACCAGTTTATGATGTACGTTTGCTGATGCAAGAAGTTGTCAGCAACAAGAACAAAAAAGAAGCAACTGAGAAATCTCTACCCAGTTTAATCCTTTTGCTGATAAATCTGTTTTCAACAGGTTGTCATAATGTCAATGTGTCTGTTTCTTGTGTATGTATGCATAAAATGGGTTTAGCACTAGGTCTTCTCAGTCTGTCAAAAGATATATTCAGAACTCATAAATTGATTGAATTCTACATGCGCAGAAAACAAGGCTGATATATTTTCTACCCAGGGAATGGCGCTTAGTGTTAGTCCATCATATAGCAAACCACCATGTAAGATGAAAAAACAATATGCCAGTACAATAAAGAATATGACAGTACCAAAGGAAATACTTAAAATAATACTTCTTCACAACTTCTTAATTATCAAGTGTCTTTTTTGGTTTACATATGCAGTAATGTTTTTCTCAGCTTTTTTCCTTTCATATTGTTAATACATTGATCATCTTTCAGTCACACAGCGCCCAACATCCTCAGAAATTAGGAATAATACCCTTTCTTTATGTTGTTCTTGTAAATATTATTTAGACTTTCTTGCTCTGAATTCTGTCCTGATTATTGGAAAGGTTACTGATTCCTTGTTAATATTTGATGGTTTTGGTTGCATTGCTTGATGTTTTGATGTAGGATTATAGGAATTAGGCCCTTGCCTACTTGCTTTGCTTTAAGAATATTTTTAAGAGTTTAATACGCTCCTAAGATGATTTTGGATGGTTTGCTTGCTGTTGTCTTAAAATTTACTCCTCTTCTTTAAGATTGAAAATCTTCAAGAGCAGTTAAGAGACAAGGAGAAGCAAATGAGCAGCTTAAAGGATCGAGTGAAATCCTTGCAGGCTGACACCACAAATACTGACACCGCCTTGACCACGCTGGAAGAAGCACTTGCAGAAAAAGTGAGTATGGAAAGCCTAAGTCCCTTCCTTCGAAAGGTCCTTCTACTAATAACCTCTCTGACGTCGGCTTTTCCGTGTGATTCCTGGACTCTGTGAGAAGACATCTGTCCGATGCAATGCCACGGTGACATCCTTTGTCTCTGGCAGCTGAGGAGGGATCAGGAGAGTGCGGCTGCTGCCGAGATGGGTCCCTCGCTAGAGGGCACTGCAGGATACGCGGAGTGGCGGCCGGGCCGCTCTCCCATTGAACCAGCCCGGGGTACCACTTCTGTACCGTGGGTGTAGAACTGAGCCCCAGGCTGTTGCTCTGGTCATTAGCTACTCACCATCGTTTTGTGTGAAAGAAATTGGTCTTCTCACGTTGTCATCTCTTTACGTGGTGCATCTTTGGTATTATTGTGACATTTCAGCTGCAGATTCTTCTGCTTTTTTCCTTCCTCTTTTCTTTTCTTTTTTTTTTTTTTTTTTTTTTTTTTTTTTTATTTAAGGTCTGGCTAATATCTTATTTCATTTTATCTTCTCTGCTCAGATATTTTAATAAGAAATTTATTTTTAAAGTTTTGCTGCATGAAATTGGGTTTTAGTTCCCAATATTGAATTAAAATGAATACTTATCCTGCTGTAGCTGTATTTCAGTCTCACTTTATTTGCAGCTTTATTATTCTCATTGTATTTTTTTTTTATGCTTGCCCAGTTCTTAGGAGATAGCGGATGGAGGGAACATTCTTGTCTATTCTGTTTTGGTGGGGCAACTTTTTGGAATTACTATTTTTTCTTGATTCCTGGAGAACCAGGGTTACAGCTCCTTTAGTCTGTCAGATTCTATAAATGTAAAGTTATGGTAAAGCTTTCCCTGAGGTTGGGGAATTCACTTGCATCCCTTCAACTTCCAAGATAACCATTGATATCTGGTGTACAGAAAAGTTGTTTTGTTCCCTTTTCTTACTGCACATCGATCCTGGTGTCACCCCTTTCTCTCTGAAGGGGACTTAACTGTACATTTTGGAAAAGTAAGATTTAAGTAAGGAAGGAAGCAATATGTCATGTGTCCTGGTCTTGGTTAATTTTGATTATCAGAACCAGATAAATTGTGTTGCATTGTAACAGTACTGTGAACTTTCAGAGATACAGAAAGCCTGATATTTCTTAGCAATGAATCCATAGATTTCTCCAGTTTCCTCTTTCTTGAGGGATCTGTTTTACAATAGTGAAGAAAAGAAAATGGCAATATCCTACACTCTTCCTGCTCATCTACAGTGTGTAAGAAGTGTTGTGATAAGGAATCTCAGAAGTTGAACTGACTTAGAGGGATTTTCTTCACAGAGTGTTTTCTTTTGTCAGGAAAGGACCATTGAGCGCCTAAAGGAGCAACGTGACAGAGATGAACGAGAAAAACAGGAAGAGATCGACAACTACAAAAAAGACATTAAAGACCTGAAAGAGAAAGTCAGCATTTTACAAGGAGATCTTACAGAGAAAGAGGTTGACCAGCAGAATGAATCTGTTGTATTAGAATTGTTTGTTGTATATGTATGTGTTATATTTGAGATGAAGAAAACTGTTCCTTTATAGTAATGATCCTTCAACAAGTTTATCCAGTAAAACATATTGTTTGAGAATTTTTCAAAGCATAAATATTTCAGAACCACCTTTTCATGGATAGCACACAGTCCCCTTATTTGCAGCAGTTCATTGTATTAGGACTGAATGACCGATGGTCAGTGATAGCATTTACTAGAGCTATCCTTATAGACAACTGAAGGCAGAGAACAAGCTTGTTCCTGTCTAAATATAGGGAGGAAAGGACAGAGGTTGATCAAAGCCATGGGTGCCAAAAGCATGCAGATAATGTTTATTCCTTTATGCAAACAATATAGCTACTTCTTTTGACTCTTCAGAGTCCTTTTTTGATAATTAAGTTGGTTGTTGGTAATGAGCCAATTGGCTAGATAAATTAACCTAATTATATTAGAGAAATATAAACGTTCTCTGTTTCTGTCTTGGAATTGTAACATTCAAGCCTACTTACAATCTTTTTTCAAAACTCAATCAAAGTAAAACAATACAAAAAAAATATGCACTCAGGAAGTGCTAAGATTTTCTCAACATGGAAGTCAATGTTTGACAGGAAAAAAACAACACAAAAATAGTTTGGAAAGCAAGAAGTTAAGATGTCTTTTGGAGATAGGTAGCACGAATCGGTTTCACCCCATAGCAGCTGTATACAAAAAAGCTTTGTATGCTTTCAGTTTTAGATACAGTGGCCAAATCCACTAATTGCATAGAATTTTTAAATACGATTTTATTTAAAACCGATTTTTCTTAAACATGACTGTCACTGAAGCACAAGTTCCAGTTTACGGAATCTTCCATCTTTAAAAATGGTTTTAAAATTAATTTAGACAAAGTTTTATTTTGATCCCGAAAGCCTGAATTAAATCAAGCTGTCTAAAGTCAGTGACATGAACATCCTGAGCATGGTGTGAAGGGATAGGAAGAAAATAAAGACAAAAAAGAAACTAGCTATTGCACATAAAAAGTATTTACTTGATAGTTATTTTACATCTTTTATTTTAGTCATCCTTACTGGATCTGAAGGAACATGCTTCATCCTTAGCTTCATCAGGGCTGAAGAAGGATTCAAGACTCAAGACACTGGAAATTGCATTGGAACAGAAAAAGGAAGAATGTTTGAAGATGGAAACTCAATTGAAGAAGGTAGTCTTATTTCATATTTATATATGTGGTGTAAACATTCAGTGTTAGAGAAATTGGCTGTGTCTACGCAGAAAACTTTGCGTCTTAAGTTTGAATTCTGTGAATTGCTTTTCAGCAAGAACTGTGAAGTTCTGTCCATGCAAACGATATTACAAGCTAAGCCCATCAGAAAGTAACCTTCAGGCACTGGTGCTAATTGTGGACTTCGTTTACATGCAATAACAGTGCTGTTGACTTTTTTTTTTTAACAGGTACTAGGAGTTAAAGACAGAACTTTTTTTACTGAAAAAAGCTTATAGCAGTAATTGTGCCATTAAACTGGTGTAACAGCTAAAAAATTAACAGCTAAACTTTTCACGTATCAATTGTCAATGCTTGTAGGTGTTAATGTGATAAATTCAGGTGCACAGTTGGCCCGGCCCATAAGAATGCATAAAAACAAATGAAAAGAATATATCACCAGTGAAGTGTGTGATCTTTTGTTTTAATCTCATTGCCAGTCACAGCTGATGCATTGGTAGGAGTTTGCTGTTCAGAAGAATAATACTCTCTTACAAGCAAGCTAATTCATTTGAACAGAATCTTTGGGTTATGTTTGCATTGCAAGCCTTCTTTATTTTAGCTGTGAGTAGCATAAATACTGCACTGTTTAGAGGAACATTGATTTGATTTTAACTTTTTGATTTTAAAAGAGCAGGTGATGAGGAAGCACAAAACACGCTAACCAAAATAGTGATAACACTTCTATTTATAGAATTAGAACAAGACAAAAGGAAACACGATTTTTTTTAAGAAATTTAAGTCTTGGATTGTGGAGTTCTAGCTGTTTCTTTACATCTACCCAGGAAAAGAAGGAGTGCCCATGCTGTAGTTTGGAACTCTGTCCTAGTTCCTGAAATGAATATAAGATCAAATTTTAAGTCATCAGTTGGGACCTGTTTAGGAATTCTGTTGCGTGGGTGCAAGGTGGGTGTTACTGCACCTGAGAACTCTGTGTAACTGAAACTCCATGTACTGCTTTTCACTGCTTCCCCTGAGATTGCTTTCCTCACTATAAGCAGTGAGTATATCAGTAGTATAAGTGGGTGTGGAGATCAACCAAAATCTGGTGAAGCACTGCTAGCTAAAAGATGGACATGCAGTTAATTTGCACTGCGATGACAGCTCTTCGTTATAATTTAGGCCTACCTTTTCTCATTCCCTTTTAGAGACGATTGTGCTTAATAGCTGGTATCCAGGAACATTACATAAGAATACTGAGCAAGTTCATAAGACCATATATTTTTATAATCTAATCTCTTTTTTTCAGGAAATAATTAAGAAGGTGAATTAGTCTCCTGTGATCCTTTTCCTGAGGGTTAAAATGGGAAAATAGCTCAAATGTAAAGAGCACTATTAATTGTACAGCACAGCTATGGGACAAATAACTATATTATTAATTTGGTTCTGAGAAAAATAATGCATATAAATTAATTGTATTGTAAACACAAATAGATTCGCATCTTCCCATGCAAAGGAGCTACCTAAATCATTCAGTCAGGATGGTTTCAGTTCTACAAGCAAAGAAAACTGGTAGCCTGTCATTGCCTATGTGCAGTATAAAGCCCTGCCATAATACTCTGGATATCTGCTCCTCTGCTTCAGGCATTAATGCTTACTAGGGCATTTGGACAATCGTTTCCTGTGCGGAGACCCGAAAGTACTCTCTCAAGTCCTACTGAGACAAAATCATCAATACCTGAATTGAACTACTGTTAAGCCATTAGATAAAAAAGATTTGGGCAGTCCTTGGAAAAAAAACTCTTGCTGATCTCTAGACAGTGAGCCTTTGAGAAATCATGAACAGTGCAAGCTTCCGCTTTTTCTGTAAAAGGTATTTAACTTTACAGTAAATGAAATATTATTAACCAAGTGGAGTGCAGAGGTGCAGATATTTTTCTTTCCATGTAAGCAGTCTCCAGTGTCTGACTAGGTGTCCAATTCTCATTGTTACTATTCCTCTTCTTACTAATGACTATTTTATATTGATCCCTGTCTTCGCGAATAAAACTGCAGTGTTTTTCATATTCGGGGTTGGTTTTTTTTAATAATGATACTATGGTTGTGCAAATCTGTGTGCTAAATGTTCTAATTATTCTACTGTCATTGCTTCTGTGCTCAATTGTCAGCCTGCTGCCAGCAGGAGATACTATGGGAGATTCTGAATGCTGAAAGCAAGCCATAAATCCCTGTTGAGTTTACATGGCCCGGTGTCCTGCCTTAAATAGTCTGCTTTTTTGCTGAGATGGAATCATTAGAGGGAAATCACACACAGGGGGTTCTCTCCCTGTTTTTCTGTGAAGTGCTTTTATGCTGTCTGGACTGTTTTTTTTTTCTCTTAGGAAACTCTTTTTTCAAACTTCTATTTTAATATAATAGTTCTATAGTGAAAAAGTTTTCTTCTAGTTTTTTTTCTTCAGGATATTCTTTTCCTAGCTTTTTCTGTCTTGTCTTTCCCAGCTAATATGCTTTGTTTAATTCTGTTTTTCTAATCTGGGAGAGACCAACTAATATTAGAATTTCTTCCAGCAAAGGTGAGCGGATTTTTGTCTGTCTTCATTTCCGTGCATAGTTTTTCTCCCTGTAAGTATTTTCCTTATTTGAAAGGGATCAAGATTAGAGAAAAGAAGGAGTCCAAAACCATATGTTAACAAACTTCCCTTTGGTGCAGTTTTAGGAACTTTTCATCAGAGAACGTTAGCAGTGATTCCCTGCCAGGAAAATACCTCTAGATTCAACAGGCTCACTCAGTGAATGTTTTTTTTTCTGCTGTGGTGTTCTTCCTTCATGTTCAGGAGGATAGTATCTTTCAAAAGACAGAAAAAAATGGCTGAATGAAGTGTTGACCCAAATTCTATGTTTCCCAAGATTTAGCTTGGTTAGTCTAATACAGGCTCTGGTGCTTTTTATTTTTGTGAACGTGGATTTCCTGCCACACTGAAAATATTGCTGATAATATTGGTAGATGAGATAGAAATACTACTTTTTGTTCTCAGCTGATGATTTGTTTTTTCAAAGAAGGAACGACAAATGATGTATTCAGCGTAGCAACCTAGAAAGAAAAAGGCTACCAGAGAAATCAGGATGTCTTGTAAAAATAAAAAAAAAAAAACAACAGTTTTGTTCAGCGTTCAGATAGTGTCAGTTACTGAATTAGTTTTCTAAGCCATTTAGCTGTCTTGTGATTGATATAAGTGAAGCACTAGAAATTAAAGTCCTGCTCAACCTGTAAAACTGTCATCTTTAAACCCAAACATGGGACTGTGTTAAATATTTGAGGACTAGATAAAACTGTTAAACTGAGAAATCAAGATCAAGTTTGGAACTCGTACGAGGGTAACTCTCCATGTTTCTCATGTTTCAAAAGCTGGTTAGTAATATGTGCTAAAACCACTAATTAAGATTCTGTCATCTTAGTAAATTAATGTTTCAGCTATTATTTTAAATTCTTTTCTCGTTGCATCTCTTCTTTTTGTCTCTCACACTGTTCCTATCCCCAATTTTCCCCATCTTTTCCTATCTTCTTTCTCCCTTTAGCACCCTGAAGTTTTATTGAGCCATCCATCCAAGCCAGTAAGTTCCCTGGCAAACTGAGAGGCTATTGCCAACCACATTGAATTTTCTGTGTTGCATGTATATTCACCTGTGCTTTTATGTTTGGGCCAACACAGAGCATATTGGTGAATTACTTTAGTAGTGGGTATGGATAGTATGGATACAAACAAAATGCTACGGTATATCTGACCAGTCATGCTCAAAAAAGCCTTCTTAGTTGCTTTTACTTTTTGGCTGCGTTGGTCTAACTTCATTATTGTTTGGACAGCTTAATATTGTGCCAATGTTTTTCTTCCCTTTGCTGCAGTTGCTTCAAGTGTCCTGTAGCTTTTCTTTCAACTCCGTTGTCCGTACTTTTCAGAGCAAGAATGTAGAATTTCCATGCAAATCAAGCTTCTTGCGTGAAAGTATTCTGTAACACCATGTACAGCAGCGCATTAGAAATAATAATTAAGTTAGGGCAAGTAAAAGATTGCTTAAAAACTTGTGTAACCATTAAGCTCGCTGGTAGTATGTCAGTTTAATTTTGGATCCTATTACCAGCCGTCTGTTTGATGTCAAAGAGCACTCCTTTCAAGGAGTGTTTGTATAATAATATCTTGACACTGCAAATTACGTAATCCAAGGTGTTTTTCATCAGAGATTTCTTTTGTGACTGCGTGCATAAAAAATCGTGTTACAAAACTTTCAGAAGGCTGATATCTGTGTTACTCTTGACAATGTTCAGGGTAAATGTAGCTGTCTATCCTGACAGTCATTGTCTGAAGGTCAGAGAATTCCTGGTGCTTTTAATAGTTCAGTTTTTGTGACATCCTGTATTAGAAATTATTTTAATAGAGCAGATAATACAATGCATTTATGGGACTAGATTTGGGAAAAGATTTGTGTGTGCAATAAGGAAAAGTATTTTGTTAGGACTATCAGAAATAATGAATATTCAACTAGGGCATAAAAACCCCTACACTGCATTTAGAGTTATTTATTATATGTAAAAACAGTCATTAATAAATATTCTAAGGTATTTGGTGCACAAAGATTAGAAAAAAACCACATTATTTTCTTAAAGGATATAATATTAGTGGATATGGCATTTGAAGGATTTCATTATTTAATATTTCATGACGGAGAATATATTTTTCCCCAAAGGTATTGTGTGTTCAGGTATGAAAAGCAGATTCAAGACTCTTCTGGTAAATTGATACGTTCCTCCACTTTAAAATAATTTGCCAGCCTCCTAACCTGTAGATTACACTGGTACAGTCTGTTACTAAATGTGTTTCATGCATCCTATTAAATAAATTCTTTTATCAATTGTTTATGGTTTTGCAAAATGTTTTAAATCTTTTAGCTGAAGTTTCTTATGTTTTATTCAGTTTTGTTTGGTTTTGTGTCTTTTTGAAAGAAAT